AACTAATACGCACTCACCTTAGCCTTGCTCGCGTTGACTCGATCATAATCTTTCGATTGTTCTGGAACAAGATTACGTTCTAAATCTACATAGTAATACATTGATACATATCAGCATATGAATTGATATATTCTAAACTATCACTCCTTAGGCTAAAAAGAAAGCTATTTTGATCTTTTAATGAAGGTATGCATCGATGCACTACACCATGTATCGATGCATCCCCTGACAGGTGCATCGATGCACTATCTATGCATCGGTACATAAATCTCATTCAATGTTTGTATTTTAAGGGTGTGCATCGATGCACTCCTTATGCATCGATGCACTCCTTATGCATCGATGCACTAATTGAATTTGATGTTCATTTATTTGAGAGTGCATCGATGCACATTAAAGATTCATCGATGCACACAACCCAGAAATTCCATTTTATACACGAAATTCACTCTCTTTTCATCTTAACTCTTCATCTTTCACCTTCTTTAATATTCCTAACTTTCATATACACACTTAAACTTATTTTTACTCAATAATCACTTCTTTAAACTCAACATCCTAACCTTTATATGGCATTCAAGAATTACACTCAATTTCCAACATGTTCTAAATCTAATTCTAACACTTCATATTTCTTAATTTAACTATCGACAAGTCAAATTCATCTTCAAACTCTATTAACTCCTTCTATTTCAAATATTCACTTAAAAACTCATTTTTCTTAATTTCTCATAACTTGTTAATCTTTGAATTTTAAGCCACCTAAAGCTTTCCTTAATCTTTCTTAACATCCCAAGAATCAAATCAAGCTTTAAAACGAAAGAATTAACCAACTGAAGACCCACTTACCTTATACAAGATTTCACGGTGGAGAGGAGAAAGAAGAAGGCTCTGGAGAAATTATCTCATTTCCCACGTGCTTAATACCCTTTATAAAGGGAAAATAAAAATCTTCCCTGAAAAATGATCATAATACCCTTATTACTTTCAAACTTTGTTATTAAATCCAACATCAACACTTTTCATTTAAGTCCCCAACTTCAAGTCTTTTCTGAAATTAGTCACTAAATTTACCAAAATTCTATTTTGGTCATTGACCCGACTTTTGGGATGTTACATTTAACATATTATTTTTTTATTATTATAAATTATTATTATTATTATTTACAAACTTTGGAACCATTACTCGGACCCAATTACATGAAACCCTAGCCCAACACCTAAACTAACATAATATAACCCTAACCCTAATTTGCCTCTTCAGCTTTCGCCCAAGCCAATGTCGTCACCGTCCAGTATCTTTTCACCTTCTAACCGTGCCAATCAGAGAAGCTGCAATTAAGCTGAAGCCACCAAACTGGATCTCATCAAATACAAGGCAATTAAATGGCCTCACCTACTCGATTGGGAGGCCATCCCCTGCGTGGTTGGTTTCCATCATCAACAACCATGCACAGTGGATATCAGAAACAAGTGGGATTAGATGCTTTTTATTGTAAAAAATAGCATAAAATCTTTGTACAAAATCGGGTATAAAACCCAGACAAAGAAAAGCTCGAAGGAACTTCTTTTTCCCCCCTCATTTTTGAAAAGCAATATAAAGAAAAAAAGTTGAAGGTAAAAAGCTTTCTTTTTTTATTTTCTAGCATATTTCGAATATAAAAAAATATAGTAATAAAAAGGAAAGTGAAAACCTTTACCAGTTTTTGTGGGTCTCGTCAGAGTTGTGGCTACGCCGGAGTAGGGAAGTCGAGAGTTCGGGTCTTAGTTTAGGGGTATTTAGTCCTTATTTAAGCTTTTTTTTTGCTCTAACTTTGGTTTAGGGGAGTAGATCGGGGTGTTTAGATTTTTTGGGGGTTTTTTAGGAACTTCGACCATCGTGAGCGTTGGCTGGAGTGGTGGTTAGAGCAGTGGTGTAGGTTTCCAATGGGGTCACCAGTGATAGGGAGAAGAGAGAGTTAAGAAAAATGAGAGATTTTTTTGGGGGTTTATTATTTACAAATGAAAAAAAAAGAAAGATGTGTTATATAGTGAAATTTTAGGGGCTAATTTGGCTTTAATCCCTCTAACTCTGTCGTGTATTTATGTTTTGGTCATGTGTAGTGTCTGTTTTGCAATTATGTTTGATGTTTGTGGCCTTAGCTTGTAATAAATCCATTTTTGGGTTGTTGTTTTTTTCGATTTAATAGTCGAGGATAATCATGCTTTAGTCCCTATGATTTTAGCGTGTTTTTACATTTAGATCATTGTCCTAAATCTTATCATTTATGTTTAATTTCAATTTATTTCAATTTATTTCAATTTATTTCAATTTATTTCAATTTAGTCACTGTAAGCTTATTATTATATTTCGGGTAAATTACTGTTTATGGCTATTAATTTCACGTTCACTACGTTTTGGTCCTTACCACTAATATCAGTTCAAAATGCTTATTTAGGATTTTAATTTCTAATATTAATTCTATATTCGAATGTATCAGTATTTCAGTTGGTTTGTTTTCATGAAATACAATGGTATTGACCCATGTTTGCCTTTTTGTTTTTTTATCTTTATTTAGTACCCGTTTGTTTCAAGTTTATAGATTTACTAATTTAATATTTTTAGTCTTTATATTTTTCAATTTGTATTCCTAAAGTGTGTAAAAAAATTAAATTCTAAATATATAGTACATATTAATATATATTGTATATATTTTTATATATGCATATTTTAAATATTATTTTCAACATTTTAGAAATTTCATGAGATTCTGTGTTAATTATTCGACTAACCTATGGATGACCTTTAAATACCTAGAGTGCCCTTTCGAGGGTTATTCGAATAAAATGATGTTAATGTTATTTTTTTTATTTACGTATATTTATTATATATCGAGTCAATTAGTTATATTTTAATCGTTTTAAATAAATCTTTCATTTATATATTTTATTTTTGACACGATTATCTTGATAAGTAAATATTTATTATGTATTTTATTTACTTTAGCATGTTACTTTTTCCATTAGTTTATTTATCTATTCGTTATTTCATATGAATATCTATTTTATTTTATATACGTGTCATTTGTTATTATTGCACCCATAAATTATGCATTCGATTACTCGTTCTCCAGAAGAATGCAAGGCAATGTTGTCATGTGACATGAGTTAACAAAATTACGCCAACATAACTGGATTTTAATTTTTTGTTAATTCACGTAGCAAGAGGACATCCTTTTTAAATAAAATCGAGTGTATTAAACCTTTTATCGAGTTAAATATTTTGAAAAAATGAATTCACTCATTTTAAAAATGGTCATTGAAATAAAAAGGATAGTAATTTAAATATTGAGTTCAAATTTGTAAAATTTCACCATTTTCGATGACGTATAATCGAGAGGTACTAATCTTGGACGTTGTGGGGTGCTTATCCTTCCCCATGCGCAACCGACTCTTGAATCCTTAAAAATAAATTTCTGATTAAAAGCATATCAATTTTCATCTTAAAATGATTTTATTAAAATTGCTTTTTGAAAGACGTTTTTGGGTATTCGACCTACCTAACCAAAAGGTCGATGACAACTCTAATTTTAAATCAAAAATCACAATTTCTCAAAAATAAAGTCATAATTATTTCCAATAAAAAATATTTCGAGGTTATAACACTTGTGTGTTACGATTTGGCCCGATTTGGTGGCTTTTTGAATGGATTCTTTTCTTGTTCGCCGACACGTGATCTTCACGTGTCACATTTGGCCATTTGGTGATCTTCGAGTTTTTGGAACATTCTGGGATTAAATCTGGCTGTTGGATTGGGTCAGATCTAACGGATCAAACCTGCCTGCTCGAGTTTCATGAAACTTAGGGTTTTCATAACCCTAACTATCTTGATCTCCACCGTTGGTTTCTCCCCTAATCTAATGGCTAATATGTGTGCGACGCTAACATTATCTTTGGAAACCCTAAGGTGATGAGTCAGGCACATTAAGCTTCTTGGCGGGCCTACTTATTGGATCTTTGACTTTTGTCGAATCTTGGGCCATGATTTGAAGTTGGACCGCACCTTGAAAACAAAAATAAAAGAGAAAAATAAATATATAAAATAAAGTAAATGAAATAATATATATAATATATATTTTCCAAAAAATCTAATACATTTTTTAAAATATATTATATATTTTTTAAAAAATACAAATTATATATTTTTCGAAAACTATATAATACTATATATTAAAAAAACTATATTATATGTATATATATATATTCAAAAAATTATATTATATATATTTTTAAAAAACTATATATTATATATATGTTTCAAAAACAATATATATATATATATATATATATATATATAATATTATTATTATATTTTCTAAGAACCACATATTATCATAATATAAATATTGTAAATATAAAAACCTATAAATAACCCTGTACGAAAAAAGGTGTATACAAATTCAAGAAAAAAAATTAAAATTAACAAATGCATCTAATTATAAGTTATTTTTTATCATTTAACTATGGAATATTACATAGTTGTCACTCAAATGTTTGAATTTATTTTTTGTTACCCAATTAATTAATACAAAAATAATATAATGATTTTTAAAGTTGATATAATAATATTTTTTTTAATTTGGTATACTATATTATTTTAGTCTTAATCATAAAAGAGTTAATTCTCGTCTCAGCATCTGCACTATATCAATTTAATCCAAAAAATTCAAATTATTTCCTTTGAATAAAGAGTTCATATTGGTTGTAAACACTTAAAGTGGTGGCGGTTGACGTTGACAAGTAAACGACTATCGAACCATATAAGCTTTCTTTCACCCACATCAGTAAATGTTAATATCAAGTGATCGATTTATTATAAATCGATAATATTAATGATAAAATAATTAGTTTTGAAACTTTATTGGAGAAAAAAATTTGCTCAAATATTATTAATCATTTGTGTAATTTAGCCAACGCTTTTTATCTCTATAGAAAAATTTTCAATTTAGTAACGTGTTGGGCCAACGATTTGATTACAGAAAGGCCCAAGGCAATGGTAACATTAGTACACGGTGGAGCAACACGAGAAAGAAGAAAACCCCAAAACCCCATCGTTTCCCCTTGACTTAGACGTCGTTACCAGGAAGCCTCCCATTTCCTTGCTGAAAATTCAAGCAATGAGTTACGTGCAGGAAGCTCGTGAGAATCACATTAAAAAAAAAGTTGAAGAAGGTAAGATTCGATCCCCTAAAAGAGGAGAAAAAAGAACTAAAACCATTTCTCATCAAACCCCTGTTTTTGTTTTTGTACGTTTTTTTTCATGAAGAAAAGGAAGCTTTGGTTATAATTGTGAATTGTGTTAATTTGGGTTTGTTCAGCTTTGAGGAGCAAGATGAAGCGGAAGGCACTAAAAGAATGTGATCAGTACACTTCGAAGTATGCGCAATGTGCTGCTGGGAAGACTATTTCTATTGTACGGCAATGTCGTAAACAAGCTAAAGAATTGAACAACTGTCTTCGTCAATTGTAAGTTATTTACTCTTCTCACACACACATTTTGAATGATTTATCTTGAAGTTATTTTCTTAAATTTTCCCGTCTCTGTAGTGGTATTAACTCCCTTTTCTTTTTCTTTGTACTGCGCTTTGTGCCTTGACAAGTTTGGTTTAGAAATGTGATTGTTGACTTGCAGGTTTTATTGATAATTTGGGTTGTTGTTGATTGCACATCTATGTTAGCCCACTGTTTAGAAATGTGGTTTAGAATGTTGTTTAGGGTTATCGAAACAATGGGTTCCGTAGACACTCATTTTTGTCCGGAGTTATTGTGTTTTTTTATTATAGTTTGTAAAAATATTTTTGACAAAATATAATATATAATTTTTAGAAAATGATTTTCGAAAATTTATATATTATATAGTTTTTGAAAATATTTTGAAAATATATATAATATATAGTTTTAAAAACATTTTGAAACCGTTTATATATTATATAGTTTTTAAAACATTTTGAAAACATATATAGTATATAGTTTTAAAAACATTTTTTGTGAAATTATATAATATATAGTTTTAAAAATATTTTTTTTTGAAAACTTATATAATATTTTTAAAACGTTTTGAAAACTATGTAATATATAGTTTTGGAAATTTTTTTAAGTATAATATATAGTTTTCTAAAACATATTTTTGAAATATATATATTATATAGTTTATATCATATTATTTATTTTATTTTATTTTATTTTATTAATTTAATTTCATATATTTTTTTTTTAGGTCCAAAAACGGGTCTAGAAACGGGTCCAAATCCAGTCAGACGGGCCTGATCCAGCCCAGAGGTCAAATTAGGGTTCCAGCATATGTCACAGCGCCACACAACAGGGGACCGTTGGATCAACAAAGAGATCAACGGCCAACATAGCAAGGGAATTAGGGTTTGTTTAACCCACAAAGAGCTATCAGCCGCGGCCGATCTTGGACCGTTGGATCTGACCCAATCCAAAGGTCAAGATCAAATCAAGGTTATCAGAAGCCTGAACGCCACCACACACCGGTCACCGAGTTTTCCGGCCGAGGGGATCGGGACTGACCCATCCCGAAATCCCCGACCAACCAACCACGATCCCGAGATCGTCGAGACTCCCAACGGTCGGTGGGGGTTATAAAAACCCACGACCAACACAGTACAGGGGGGAGAGGTCCAAAATACATCATCAACAGTACACACAGAACCCATCAGGGATCGAACCAGTACCAAACCACAAGCAAACCAAAATCAAGTCCCACAAAAAACTGAGGATCAAGACCCACGACGAACACAGTAAACATCAACCATCACACTACGAACCGAGAACCCACAACTACAGAGAGATATCAACAGTACCCAACATTGGACAGAAAACAAAGCAAATATCAAATATATAAACTCAAAGGCCGAAGCCCCAACAGAAAATCTAAGCAAGTAAAAAACCGAGGCAAAGCAAAGCAAAGCAAATCGAAGAACCACCAGGAAGGCGACGATTTCTCGCCCCAAAGGGTAAGGATTGAGGCTTTCAAGGCTAGATCTACTCCGATCTAGTGTCGTTTTCACTGTTTCGAGGCCAGATTCGACATCGGGGGGTTGAGAGGAGGCTATCGGTTGTGTTTGGGTTAGTTCCGGTCACCGGCGCCTCCGTGCGCCGCCGCTTGCAGTCGCGGCTCCGCCACCGTTTCCTCTCTCCGACGAGGGAGGGGAGAGAGAGTTATGAACTCTCCTTTTTTCTTTCTGGAGTGAAGAAGAAAATGAAGAGAGTAAAGGAAGTGGGCCTCGTTTGGATTTAAGTACTAGAACCAAAACGGTGCCGTTTTGGCACCAGATGAAACGGCGCCGTTTTAAGAGGGGCCATTGTGCAATTATGGGATTGTTAAATTCCCTCCGCCGTCCCTAATGGTTTGAATCGCATTTCAATCTAGTCACCATTTGTAATTTTGACCCTGAATTTGTAATTCAATTAATTTGGTCACTATTTATTTTTATTTTTTTTGTGAATTGGCTCCTAACTTTTTACTCTCTTTTTTTTTGCAGTCCATTTTAATACCAATTTAGCCCGTCAATTCCATTTTTTTTTTGGTCCCCCTAAGTCTCATTTTATTTTATCGCTATTATTATTAGTATTTTCCTTCATATTTTTTTTATTTATTACTTTTAAACTTTACCCTTTCTTTCCCTTTTACTAATTTTAATTTTATCTATCATATTTTTCTATCCTCTTTGACTTATTTATTTTTCACTTATTTTTTTTCTCCCCTTTCTTTGGACTTGTTATTATTTTTTCGATTCATTTAATATTTTTTTGTTTTTTTTCTAACAATTTTGTTTCTTCTTTTAGAAGAATTTCAACCGATCAAAGGTAAGTAATTCGAATCGAGTTTTTTAAATTTAAATTTAAATTTTTCAATTTTCGCATTTAAAGACAACCGGAAAATTAATTGGTACCGAAAGGGCGGTTCAAGAGTGCTAATCCTTCCTTGACCGTAACCGACTCCCGAACCCGACACGTTTCCGGTACAACGCAGATCAGGTAAGATGGTGTCCGACCCACCTAAATTTATTTTAAAATGGTCGGTGGCGACTATAACCCGTTGAATCCAAGTTGAAGCCCAATTCCGGGCCCACCCGAAAGACGGTTCCAACAGCTTGGCGACTCCGCTGGGGACCAGGTAAGTGAGTCAGGCCGAAATTAATTTTTGGTTGTTTTTTTTATGTGAAAATGTTAAATTTTAATTTTAATTTATTTATTCGATTCCAATTATTTATCTTTGATTATTTGTTTCAAAAATAGTTGTACTGATGTTTTTTAATGATTTCAGATTTTTTTCAAAATTGTCATCTTTAAGCTCTAAACCCGAGCTCCAAACCCGTTTTAAGTGGGGGTGAAAGCGACGCATTCGTGTGAATTTATTCACCGCATATGCCTAGCAAGTAGCCTTCGGGATTCATATACCTTATGTCTTCGTGTGAGTTTATTCACCGTGCGGGCATAAAGGAATGTTTCCTCTCGAGTTTAACTTAGTCTACACAAGCCTGTGATGGGTTTAGGACTAAGGGTCTGGTAAGCCCAAGGGGGCACCAGCAAGGAGAACTCGGGTACCGTGTTTTAGAACCTAAACTGGGAGACTTTGAAGGAGTTAGAGCCCACCCCAAAACCTCATTTCAAACCCTAGGATGCTGGAATTATTTCCTGCTTTACTTTCTGTTCAAAGCATGTGAACTAGAAATTTATGCGGTTAGGACTTGTTCAAAATCAACATGCGGGATCATGTCCGGGTAGGAATAGCATGTGGGGTAGATATCATGTGGGGGGGGACTTTTCATCTTCATTTTTTTTATTATCCTTATCTCACTAACTTTTTTTCTCCTTTCATTTATATTCTTTTGCATTTTTTTTGATCATTCGCATCATTAAAACGAGGTGTTGATCCACCAAAAATGTGTTTGTTAAACGTAGTATATTAATGGACAAAGGGGTTATAATACAACGAGATAAAAAGCTCAGAAGTCCAACCGGGATAAAGAATACTTAGAGGCAAAGGTTGCAGGGGCAAGACGAGGAAATGGTTGACCCGGAGAATCCTTTCAAAGGAGCTGGAACGGTTCGACAGGATGTTCAACCGGTGAAGAAGCGGAAGACGAATCAACTTGCCAGAGGCTGTGCGGGATCTATACCATCAAAAAGTTTTTTGTCTCTTCAGACGTAACATTTTTGTCCCCAATAAGGATTATTCAGAATAATAGGCACATTTTTCGGATCAATGCCTCGGACATTTCATGCTTCATGCATTTAAACATTTTGCATTTTGTTCATTTCTTTACATTCACATTAACTATCTTCACATTATTCATCAAAAAATGAGAACACTTCGACCCTATGACATATAAGGAGCTTTACCAACAGTTGTTCGACGCACATGTGGTGTCACCATATCCAGAGAAATCCATGAAGCCCCGTACCCCAGGTAGTATGATGAGAACGCTCATTACAGCGGAGTCCCAGGGCGCACTATCGAGAATTACTCCACAATCAAGAGAATGATACAGAAAATACGTAACAAGAATCGGATCGACTTCAACAACTTGGGGGCATCCAAGTGAGGAAGACCATTTCATCATTTGAGACATTTTTTGAATTTGTTTTTCATTTTTTTTTCTCAAGTTTTTGTAAGGACTTTTAAATAAATTTATGTTACTTTAAAGATGTTAAACAATGAATTACATTTGCAAACTTGCAATTCTTTGAATATCATATGAACTAAGAAACTCTGAAATGGTTCAAAATTACATATCTTTGACGAAGTAACATGATTTAAAACAAGGAATTTGACTTTACCCAGAATATACACTCAAACACCGTACACTGCTCTTGTAATTAACCAATATAACATTTTCCTTTCATAAGGTGCGGACAACATGGGGCATCCTTTTGCATATGACATTATTATACTTTTATTAAGCATTCAGTGATGATAATGATCTTCACAGATGGAATAGTCGAGTAAGTGAATCTAGTTTAGGTCAGTTGCTTGAAAATTGAACTCTAAAGATGAAATTTTTTACTTTCAACAAATACCTAGACTATAAAAGGTTCCTCTTGACAATCTTAAGAAATTAAATCCGTAAAACTGAGCTATTCCACTAAGGCAATCGGTTACAGAGGAAACTCGAAAGCCCTGGCTTTATGAATAGATTGTATTCAAACCATGACATTGCTCGGACACTTGGCAATTCGGTGTTTGCTCCACTGCTTTTGTCAGGCCGAAGACTTTGTGATGAGATGAACCCTTCAGTTAAACCTGATAAAAGTGATTATAATGTTAAGCTGTCCCTCTAAAGTAATTGGTTAAACGCCCCGACTTTATGGATTCAGCTAGCCAGACAATGGAAAATTAAATCAAATTTATCTGAGCAAGAAATTTTCGGTAATGTTGGACTAAGGGAGTTAAGGAACACCTGTTATAGTCGACTACACACGAGCACTCAAGAATTTCA